CTTCACATTTAGTTTTCACAGAAAACAAGAGTGTAGAAGAGATGGTCATCCTAGAAGACTGTGAAAATTGTAGCCTTTAAGCTCAAAATCCAGTCATGAATTACTCGGCCAATTCCAGAACAGACACACTAAATGCTCTGAGAAGGAGGAAAAACACAGTCAAGGACCCTGTGCTGAGGCACCCAAGTCTTGAATGTCATGCCCAAAGTGGAGAAATGCTCCCAGTCATCATCTGTACTGTGAAACACAGAAAAAAAACACAGTTCTAGGGAACTTCCTCAAGCATGGGTCTAACATAAATAACCTCATCTTCACTTTGAGCAATTATGAAATCCCAGGCCAATCAGACTTTGTCTCCAGTAGGTACTTAGTCATGAAGTTGTCTTGATATTATTTATTCAGAAAATGTTTTTCTTTCTTTTTCTTCTTCTTCCTTTTAATCATTAAATCTGACTATCGATGCTTCCTGAAACTCATAACTCTTGCTCAACTATTAATTAGGAGCTAATTTCAAAATGTTATTTCTGTTTAGCTTTGAAAGAACATTTGCATATATAATTCAGTATAGATGTCTCAGGTTCTAGAGAATTTAGAGTTTTCAAGCTAAATGCCTCATACTGGGAAGATCCTACCCTGAACAAACTCGCTGTCTTCCTCCCTCTCCCAGACTTATTCCAGCCTTGCAGAAATGCCTTTCTCCAACTCTTCCATTTTCAGGGGGAGGTTTGACTAGATACCCTCTACAATCCTCTCCATTTCGAAGATTCAGTAATTATTAGAGAGGACAGCTTATAATTATGAGATCGTACCTCCTGTTTAAACCTAAGTAATGGAAGAAAGCCTTGAATTGTCTTCTGACTAAAAGGATATAGTCTAAAGAAGTAATTCACGTAAATGACATGAGAGTATCAGCAACCAATTTTAATGTCATTGTCTTCCATCACAGATAAATTAGGACATATAAGTTATCGAGTGAATAATATATTTTATTTGTAAACTTAGAGGATTAACTGCCCGATGAATGGATACTTCAATGACTAATATGGTAAAATAGAAAGGAAACTATTTTCTTTGTAGATTTCATTCTAACAGAATTTTCATCCAACTGGAAGTCAACTGTTCATACCGTATTTTTTTATTATTATTTCTAACTGTGGTGAAATACATCTAACATAAAACTTATCATCTTAACCATTTTTAAGGGTATAGTTTAATAACAATAAGTACATTCACATTGTTGTGCAATCACTATCACCATCCATCTCCAAAACCATTTTTATCTTACAAAAATGAAACTATACCATGAAACACTCCCAATTCTCCCTTCCACCCAGTCCCTGGCAACTTTTCTTCTTTTTGTCCCTATGAATTTGACTATCCTAGGTATCTCATTTAAGTGGAATCATTCAGTAATTGTCTTTTTGTGACTGGCTTATTTTGCCTAACATAATGTCTTCAAAAGTTTTGCACTATTTTTTATAGTATCTTTTGCATGATGCAAAAAGTAATCAGAATTTTTGCCTGCACTTTGAACTCAGATGTCAACCACATTGATTCTACGTAGTGAAAATATTGAGCTGGAAGCTATATAGCAGCAACAGTGAATAAAATTATCACATCACACATTTGAAGTACACATGCTCTGATTTTAAGCCTATATGTGTGACATATTGCATTCAGTTTAGAAATTAAATTGGCATATAGCACTGAGTTTATTTTTAGACTAAAAATTCTCCTAGGAGATGAAAATGAAAGAGGAGGGGGAAATTCTGATGTGAAACCAACAGTCTGTCACCTTGGGGAGGCACTAATGGGTGTGGCCACTGACCTTGACTAAGTGGACCATCGCATCCTCGAAGAACACCAAATCCATGCCAGCACCACGGACACTCTCATTATAGAGCTGCAGGAACATATTCAAACGCTCCTTTAGGTGATCAAAAGACTCAACTGGCTCATAAACTTTGGGCATCTCAGCATCAGCCTCTTCAGATGTTTCTCCTGGGATTGGGGGAAAAATAATCAATTAAATGTCTTCAACTTGCTGGGCTTTCCTTCCTTCAATGTAAATTAGTACACTCATAACTCCATGATTTAATACTACATAACACTGATTTTTGTCTAAATGTTATATTATGTATTTTTATAAAAGAAAGCAACAAATACTAAAAGCATTAAAATTATTGTGATCCTATACAGTCATAGTTCTTTCCTGTCCAGAAAAGGCCAACTTCAAATAATTTTATAAATACTGAATTAAATTGCATCCATAGTTGAACATTATAATTTCAAGCATCCTCCCAGAGATATTCACCTAATCATCCAAGTGAAGATCAAGTAAAGTAATAATGTAATGTCAAAATCAGCAACAGACGGTAAGAATTAAATTATTTTTAATAAGAATAAAAAGATCATTGCATCTGCTCAGGCGATTTTTATAATTCAGAAATTTCAGGTTAGTGGTAAGGACAGAAGTAAATTTGAGGGAATGGAGGTAGAGAGTTGAGAGAGAAAAAGAATAATGATTTCCTAAATAAATAAACATATTGAATTATTTCACTGGGAAAATATTAAAGTCAATATATTTTTCATTAGAAACATATATTATACAAGCCTAACACTTTCCAACTTTGACTATAAAGCATAATACCAAAGAAAAAGCTAAACTAAGCACATATAAATTCACTATCAGGTAACAGTATAACAGGGGGGAAAAGTGACACAGTCATTGAATATACTAATAATAACTTAGAAATTCACTGGGTACTAAAAAAGTGAGTGGATCCTCCAAATCTAATACTAATTATTTTCAATTGACCCTGTCCTAATATAATTTTGTATTAACCTTTTTATGACAAGGAAAGGAAGTTGATTTAACATAATCATTAACATGGCCTATTTGCAAAACTCTAACTTATTTCAATTGTCATGTCACTGTTTCAATGTTCAACTCAAGCTTCGAGGAACAAAGTGCTTTGAAGTCACCAAAGATTGTTTGCCTCAAGATGCCACCCACCCTAAAAAGCATTTGTGCTTTGCTCCTTGAAAATCATAATCTAAATATGTATCTTCCTGAATTAGAGGAAATAAAATACATAAATTCTAATTACCTAGCAAATGCTCTTACCATTACTGCGTTTTTGTATTTGTGTGACCTGATTTAAAATAAAATGTGTCAGCGTCTTTCTGTAGAAGGTCCCTTCCAACTGCACAGCCAGCAATAAACCTCCTTTTACACTTTTCAATCAGAAACTGGGATCACATATATCCTTATTAAATCCAGAAAGGGGCTGCCTTGTCATTTTCAATCATTTAAAAGATATACATAGCATGTGTTTAAACATGCCTTTTTAAATTTGGAAATTAACTTAAAATTCATCCTCAGTTCAGAAGAGGTCATTCAATAAAAGAAAGAAAAAATTTCTAAGGGAAAAAATAATTGGAGCAATACTTCTTTTCGTAAGAAAAGTAAAGTATGTCTCAATTTTTCATGGAACCATAACCACAAAAGCTTGCCTCCACATCGCCCATCTCTTTCTAATTACATGCAATGGCCCTCTCAGATAGTTTGAGGTTCTTCTTTTGACTGTGAACACTCGGGATGACCCAAATAATAATCATCATTTTTGCTGCCTTTCGTTCGGCAGTGACTATGAGCCACAGATGGCCCAAGCCTTTCTGCAGACAGCATTTCATTTATTCCCCACAGTGCTCCATGATGCCTATATGAATATTTCCATTTTTATAAATGAGGAGAGTGAGGTTCAGTCAAGTTCAGAGACTTGCCAAGCTAATGTGTGACAAGTCACTTCCTCACATCTATGTCTGTGTGACAGCTGCAAGTCCCAAGTGCTCTATTCTGTCCTATCCTGTTTCCCAACTCTACCTTAATATCCAAGACTCATGTGCATAGAAAGTAGTTAAACTCTGAACTCCAGGAGTATGCACTTATATATTCATTCTATATTTGTTGAATGCTTAGCATGGTCCCAGGCTTATTTCAGTAAAGTTTACTGGACAAACATTCAGCATCCCTAAACTGAACCTATTGTCTTCTGATATCCCTTTGGGGAATTTCAAATTCTGCTTCAATAGTTTACCTGTCAATTCGGGTGCATCCCTCAAGAAATCCACAAAATAAGCGTCGATTCCACAATCCACCAAGAGTTTTTTCTCTTCACCAAACGCCTCCTCCACCAAACTTACTAAAGCCTTATCAAACCAGGTCACATCATCTGACACCGTGAAACGATCAGCTATCACGCGTTTACACTCATGCTTCCAGAGCCTTAACAGTTCCTGTAGAAAGCACAGTGAAAAGGTGCTACTGGTTGCCATTATGCCAGAGATGGGAATTCAAGGTCACGATATTGTAGAGTACTATCCTTACTGATTTAAGGTGCTACATTTTGAAAAGTTCGGGTTAAGATATACTTACCTTCATTTCAAATCTGTGTCATTCAAGAATATTAAACAGAAAGTAGGTTCTGTTCATTTCCATTCTTTAAATGAAAAAGAAAACATCTCTAGACAAAATACTAAAATCACTCTAATCAACCAACAAACTAATATTCTATGTAAAAATCTTATGTTTATGATAAATTAATCTGTATTAGTCATGTGGCCAGACCATAAAATAAAATGCAGTGTATAAATAACTCTCACTTATACAGTTGAGGTATTACAACGGTATATTTACTTAACACCATATGATGATAATTTGAGGCAAAAAAAGAAAAAAATGGCAATCATCTAGGTTAGACAATTCAGGGCCAAAAGCTAACTGGAAGTTAAGGAAATAATGGCCCAACACACCTGTCCCTATAGCAAGCAGAACAAATGTTTGCCTAAGCTCATTGGTATGAAAGACTGGTGGAAATGTCTTAACTTGGCAACATTTTGCAAGTTGGAAGGGTTTTTAAGCCATTATATTTCTAATGATAGAATGCTATTTAGTTGCCAAAATATAAAAGGAGTGTAATGAAATATATTCAATGATTCAGTTAAAATAAAAGTTCATGTTGAAAACCAATTGCTAAAACTATTTATACTGATTTAAAATAAACATCAAAAAATGGTTACTCAAAAAGTGATGCTGGAGAACACTATTCCATCATGCCATTAATTTGTCAATAACTTTGA